CTTCCAATTCTGTAATGTTTATAGGTAATGAAATTACTTTGAAGTCTGAATGCTACCATCTGATCGTTATTGGGTCTGTGTGTAGAAGCTGATTAGAATTTACGAAGTAGGACAAACCGGATTTCCAGTACTCCTTCGTGCTTACTGATTCCACAAATGATGACAGTCCCAAGCACTTTATCATGATAACGAATAGCATTCATTAAAATATTATGCCTAAAAGTGATCAATATATAGACGCTTAGTGTTTTTCTGAAAAGCAAATAAACCACACATTCTATAAATAATTTAGTACAAATTATCTATATCAGCATTTTATTGGCTTATTAGTGATAATAAACAGTTTTGCACTTTGAAATTATCAATTAGTCATTGTTAGACCATTATTATAAACCTGAAAGCACTGAACGGGCGTTTCGTCCTGGTACGGGACTCATCAGTGGCACTGCGCATTCACGACTCCTGACTTTCACAGGATTCGAACCCAGGACCTTCGGTCTTGCACGCGAAATGTTGCGAGTAGCAGGGGTCATGAATACGCATTGCTGATGAGTTCCATATTAGGACAAAACGGCCGTTCAGTGCTTTCAGGTTTATAATAACAGTCTAACGATGATTGATTGATGGTTTCAATGCGTAAAAACACTCATCTCTATAAACAATTAATTGTGACAATATACAGTGAAAATGTCACCAGCCTTTAAACTTAAAACATAATGTGTTTACATATCTCCGGTGTATGTCGGAGAAAATGGACGTCTTCTTCAACTTCACCCGCATGAACATCAATCAGCAGCCAAACGTTATAACATTCCTTCCTTTACACGAGAAAAATTGTGGACATACATCTGACTAGAATAATGTTGACATACAGGATAGAGAGAGTATAAAGAAGACTTGGGAATTATTTCAGAAGACTGACACTCAGGTCAGTCGACAATCAATAAACATATAGAAGACACTGATCCGACTTATCAGACAGCCAGAAAAATCATAGGCGTACATAGAATCAAGAAAAAGATCAAAAGGAGGATACAGTCAAAATGAAGAAGCAGACAATGACAACAGGTTAAAGGTCAATAATAATCAGTCATGGTCGAGGTCAACAGGACAAGCTACAAGTGGTGATACGTGGAGAAATTCGAATACTTCACTTCTTCTACTTGAAGTTTATGTTGGTGATGTGATGTTCGCAAGAAGATTGAAAGCACCGCAACCAAAATATCAAGCTCAGAGAACGAAACTCCATCATAATCAACCGTCTAAGCTACAAACTTTCTCCACCATCTTAAAAATACTTACTTCTGTTGAATATTTCACACAAAACTGTTATGCCTGCCACCAGTTGATATGTCTGAAACTATTACGAGTTCACCTTATTCGGTAAACGAAAGCAAAGACAAATGATCCAGTGACACGATAGACGTCTCTAATCCTATTGGTACCAGCCCTGCTAACTATAGCAAGAAGTCTTGATATGGCGTAGAAAGTGTATTCTACAAGCACTCAGAAAATATGAGGTTGACAACCACACAAATCGAGTTTATTTATACATCATAAGAACGTCCTTCGAAGAGTCACAAAAATAGCTTACTAAAGTAATACATCAACCAATAACAGTCAAGGATTTTCCGAGTGGGATATGTAATCTCAAGGTCAACTGATCAACCCATGCACGAGAACACAAAAAGAAATCTAGAATTAAGACCTTTATCAAGTATTCTATTCCACATTTTGACTTCTTGGAAAAAGCGAAAAATTTCTGGGAAAGTAAAAGTGTTTAAAGAAATTCTCTATGATCATAATGCTCTTCTTTGTTGCATCCGCCTATCCTCTGTGCATCTGTGAATCTTCTGGAAAGTCAGATAAGAATGTTACCTCTATAAACGTATCGATGATGAAGTACCCAAAATGAAGTAGACAGTTTCCTTAAGGAACCTTTGGCCTACAGATCTAGTAGACAAGGCAGTAGAGTAACATCAGGAGATGCAATCCTACGGTAGCCGATGAAGCTCATTTTCTAGTTTCCCTAAGTGGATCCTCAATACCCAGAAACACATTTTAAGCGCCAAATCGACAGTTCATTTTGATTCTCTCAGTTTCATAAACAACGCCCTCGTCTCTAGAAAGAATTACTCTTTCAGTGGAAATACACACCTAATCAACACAGATGCTCTCCATTTTCATCCTTACCAAGGCATTTGAGAGAGTCATTGTAGAGAGTTCAGCTAAACTAATTACTTCAAATGTGAATTTTATTGAATATTATTATAAATACACTCAAATAATCTTTTGATTTCTGACCTATTCTTATCTATTTTTTTATTTATTGATATGACTTGACCTCAATGTGAATAGAGACCAATTTTCAATTGTACAAGAATAAAGTTGATAATGATATGTGTAGAAGCAATACATTATTATTTATTGATCCGTGATCAAGGTTATTTTCTGTTCAATAATCATCATCATCATCATCATCACCTGTTCAATAGCAAATAAATGAGTAATAAAAAGATTTGACTTGCATTCTCTAATAAAGATACATACACACACACACACAGCACTACAAACACGTACATTTTCTTTCTCACATTGATGCGTCAGTCAGTCATCCATGCTTTCTTCTTTATGTGTCAATATTTACAATTTTTAATCGTTTTGTTTGTATTGAATCAATCAATAAATGTTTTTGCTACCGATAAATAAAATAAACGATCAATTGAGTAGCTGACCACAGATTACACGTACAAGAACTAACTAAGCATAAACTCTACACAGGTTTCATTGTAAACTATAAATGTATTCTGACAATTAGTGGTCATGTGATGGACACTACTCAGCAACGTGGCTTACACGTAGAATACAAATGTGAATCGATTGGAATTTACAACATGGGAGAGAAGAAAGTTCAATTTGAGTGTAAGATGCGATCTGGGTGTTGTAAATATTACAAAGATAGCCAATAATCTGCTTGTTTCGCAAACAGAAGTTTAGAGACAAAGAACAACCTGAACTGATGTACTTACATAGGAAGTTCTACGTTATTAGTGACTGACTGACTGTTTACACTTCGCTGGTAAACTGTGTCTCATTCAAACCAATCACTCATTCCTTATTGTCTTAAGATGTTCTTTTTTTTACAGTAGTACTGGACAAATGTGTAATTCCGAGATTCTACAACAACGATAACTAATCACGACCACATTCAAACAATGTGGACAGGATTTATGGGTTACTGATAAGACAATAATTATTAGGGCGTTCGCGCACAATACCGAAGGTCCAGGATTCGAATCCTGCAGGGTGCAGGAGTCATGGATGCACACTGCTGAAGAGTCCCATACCAGGACGAAAAACCTGCTCAGTGCTTTCAGGTTTCTAATGGTGATCTAACATTGATCGATTCATGGTTTCAAAAAACTAATTATTAGCTGAATGAATTCATTGAGTTGCAATGTTTCACTTCGAAATAGTCCACATTAGAGTTTGACATCAATAAGGTGAAACATGTAGAATTCTGAGTGCATTGGAGACATGCTTCTCCTTTGTGATGATGAGTCCCATACCAGGACGAAACGGCCATCTTTCAGTGCTTCCAGGTTTCTAATGGTGGTCTAACAATAATTGATTGATGATTTCAAATGTGAAAAAACACAAACCTCCAAAACTATGCCCGAAAATGTAACTTGCTTGAAACGATCTGTCTTACCGGAGATCGTTGTTGATGCTTGTATAGACACATTTTGAGGATGAGATGAAGTATTCATAAAAATCTATGACCATTTCAAACAGAATCAAATTGTTGACAATTTATACCAAACAGAAGTCCAATATTCATGACTTACTTGCTGATCTAAATAACGTCGTATCCTTAATTACTTCTATTGATCCGATTTCGGGTCAAATAACTTAATTTGATAATCAGTTCAATGTATTTTAACAATTGTCAACTATGTGTAGGCACCATTTTAACACCATCTATTCTAAAAGTTGATCTATCATCACTCACTATATAATCGTTGTAGTAAATCTCCCATAGAAAACATCACATAATCAAACTTATCTATCCATCAGAGTGTGGAACAAATACAATCGACTAGTACTGTTGTGAACAAGTTTAATTAAATACAAAAGACGTTCATAAATGCAAAGAACTGCCTGACACCTTTACATCTCCTTCTTCTTCTCCTATTCTTTCGCCTGTTACCCCCAATAGAGGAGCATAGGCCGCCGACCAGTTTTCTCCAACGAACTCTGTCCTGGGCTTCCCGTTCCAGTTCTGTCCAATTTTTGGTTATTCTTCTCATGTCTTTCTCTATTTTTCGGCTTAATGCGTTCCTTGGTCTTCCTCTTTTCCTTTTGCCTTGAGGGTTCCAAGTGAGGACTTGTCTTGTGACGCAGTTGTGTGCTTTTCTTAATGTGTTTCCTATCAACTTCCATCGCTTCTTCCTGATTTCCAACTCCGCTAGAATCTGGTTTGTTCTCTCCCACAGTACGTTGTTGCTGATGGTGTCTGGCCAACGAATCTGAAGTATTTTGCGTTGAAAACTGTTAATAAACACTTGTATCTTCTGGATGATACCTTTCGTAGTTCTCCAAGTTTCTGCTCCATACAGTAGAACTGTGTTGACATTTGTATTGAAAATCCTGATTTCGGTGTTGATTGATATTTGTTTGGAGTTCCAGATATTTTTCAATTGTAGAAATATGCAGCCCTTGCTTTGCTGATCCACGCCCTCATATCTGTATCGGATCCACCTTTCTCGTCGATGATGCTGCCCAGATATGTTAAGGTGTTAACGTCCTCCTTTATCAACTTAATACATCTCTATAAACCAACCAGTAAGCTGATTATGATAATTGACTCAATAATTCAATGATTCAAATTGTATACGAATGTACGTTTAAATCAGATGATACTCTGACTCTGTTGTTATTTTCTCTTTTTTCTATCTTAGCAATTTCACGTCTTCATGCAATTATCACCATTCTTTCGTATGATTCTAATATACACAATGGGTATGTTTGGTGGTGGACTCATTGTTCACATCTACCATGTACAACATGAAGAGAATGCGTATACTACAGCATTGTTTGCAGCTGCCAAGTCACCGAAACTCATCACAAACGACAATGCATACCAACAGTTGAGTAGGTTAGATTTCTGTTAAAATGACTGTCAATTCTATTGAAAATTACAGTTCATTCAAACGATTCAATACACGAACATGCATTACAACATTTAGGTAAGTGTGTGTTAGTTTCGATTTGGTATGTGCAAACGTAGTGTTTAATTGTGGTTTCGTTGATTATGTTGAAAGTAACTTTCAGTTATACCAACAACTGCAGATATCCACCTATGATTTAGATTGTAGTTATTGACTTTTATTTCGATGTTCATCAAGTCCCTTGTTATGAATGTAAATCCTTATTTCGGTGACAGCGGATAAGTACTAGTGTTTTGAGTGAGTAAGTTGGCGAATGGAGTGCCTGAGTCGTTGTGCATCTACTCTATTCGTTTCAAAATACTTCTCATATGTGAAAGTTTACTTGTTCTGTGTTACTGTTCACCGTGGAAAACACTTCTGGACCTCTGAGAATTAAAATACTTCAGCTGTGTCATTGTCTCACATTTTACTCTATCCAGCTTCGGTGACCTAGCTGGACCGAATAAACACCCAACTCTTCCTAATTCATACTTTCGGTAATCATCTGTAGAGTGAATTAGGAATGTAAAATCTGAAGGCATAACACATGCTTGTTGATTTTATTGACATGTGTATTTGATGACAGTGTTAAGCTATCATTATCTTTCGACAATTGATAATTATCACTGAAACATTTGAAATAGATGAGCATAATTCTATTCTCCAGTTTCAATCTGCATTAAACAACTCTCTACACCTTATCAATTTCTCAGAAATACTTCTAGGTCTTTCCAGAACTCTCATCAGTTCAGTTCTCATATTTCATTAGCAGACCGAATTCATTCTTCTATAGTCAAAATAACTGTACAGTTTACAACAAAATTCAAAATATTTGACATTGGTAATGCTTCACACCTTGTGTTTTATTCATTTAAACTTGAAAATTGACCATTGTGGTGTTGATCAGTCAGTCAGTCAGATGCAACGTAGAACTTCGTACGCAAGTACATCAGCTCATGTCAACATACCACATCAGCACAGAGATGTAATTGTCAATTCAAATCCAATAGTAGAAGAGGTAGTAAATGTATTAGAAGTAATCGAAGAGGTTGGGATTAGAAGATATTATTCAAGAAGTATGATTCAGTGAGAAAAGTTTACAAAGTTGAAGAATCCAGAAGATTAGGATTTGAGTGAACACAAAGAATAAATTCACCGGCGCCATTGTGAACGATTTTGAGCCATGTCATTCAAGGTCTATAACCATCGATTACTCTCATCTCGCAAATCCTAACCAGGTAGTCGACAATTACCGATATGGCTAAGTCCACTCGTCAATGACTTCATGGATTTATGCCATGTTTTGGTCTGAACGCCCCTAGCTTTCTTCCAACCTATTCCTACACTACAAAGCAAAGCTCGTCGAGGCAGTCGGTGGTTAGGCATACGCAGCACATGTCCCAACCACCTCAACTAATAAAGTTTCATCACTTTATCTACTGATCTGCCATTCTTACCTAGCACCCGTTTCCTAATAACAGCGTTGCTCACTCGGTTGTCCCACGATATACGAGCAATGCTTCGAAGACACCTATGATCGAAAACCAGTAACATACAAATATCTTCTACTTTCACTAGCCATGTTTCACAAGCATAAAGTAAGACGGAGCGAACTACTGCGCAATGCACTCGTCCTTTAGTCAGCAAACAGATATCTCGCCTACGCCATAAGTGACGCAGGTTGGCAAAAGCCAATCGAGCCTTCTGTATCCGAGCTGAGATTTTGTCAGTCATCAGGTCATCAGCACTGATGAGACTACCCAGATAAGTGAAGCGGTCAACACGTTCGACTACTTCACTCCCTATCACTAGTTCAGGTGCCGAGGGGGAAAACCGCATCCCGAACATGCTTGCATTGTTGCTTAGGGTGGTCAGAAGACACTGCATTTGTCAGCGTCTTCACCAAATAGAACTATGTCATCGGCATATTCCAAGTCAATAAGCGAGCTAGCAGGTAAACGGTGTTGATCAGATGTCAACCCTCCTTCCTATGAGTGAATGAATGAATAATGGACAATGTGAGTGATTGGATCATTTTGAAGTAGAGTACAGGTTAATGCATTCTTGTTACATAAAGTTAAACCAGAATGAAATTCAGTATGACTTTATTTCATAATGAACGTTTGATTGTTTTAGTGATGAAGTTGGAATATAGGTATTGAGGTACTACTTATATTTTAAGTAGTATTCATCATGTGATAGAGTATGTTTTCAAAATGAAGCCAACACATACATGCGCAAGCCAACTTGCCACTGACCAGAAATAAAAGACGAATCTATGCTAAAATGCTTCTATTTTTGGCGGTGATGTATGGACGTGAAAGTTTTAGAATGTAAGAGAGTATGTTGAATTGGAAATTGAGAAACAACACAAGTGGCATTGACAGTATCAACAGAATAGACTGAATGTAAGAACTTTGTGAAAAATAATCCATGTGATGTCTAAACAAGAAGTGAAATTTCTTATTCGCACTTAAAATCATCAATCAATCATTGTTAGACTACCACAATTAGAAACCTCGAAGCACTGAAACACGGCCATTTCGTCATGGTATAGGACCCATAAGTGGTAGTGCGCATCCACGACTCCTCCTGCACCTCGTAGGCCTCGAACCCTGGACCCTCGGTATTGTGTGCGAATGCCCAACCATCGAACCGCTAGGTCGGCATCCAACGATGTTAATGTCTAACAATGATTGATTGATGATTTCAAATGGGTAGCAACACAAACCTCCAAAACTCTGCCTGAAAATTTCTTATTATTAACTAATGAAGTGGAATAAAGCTGATTTCAATGCAAGTTAACTTTTATCATTCTCTGTGTATTTTTGTTCTCTGTTGTCATGAATTAACTAACTATTAGCTGAATTCAAATGTTTGCGGCGGGTTGTTTTCCACGATGATATTATCTTGAATGATTTCGTTTATTTAGTTTGAATTTTGAATTTTTCTGACACCTGTCGCTACATTCCTGAAAGCCAACCTTCGTACGGTCATGTCATGTTTATTGTACAGTTTCCAGTGATGAATAGTCTTTCTAATTCTGGTTGGGGAGTATGTCTAAGATTTCCTGAACTTCTCTTTTTATTTCAATCGACTTCTGAATTTTCCTGGTATGTCGTCCTCATCGTTATACAGTGTAAAATAGGGTATTCCAAAAGGATGTTTCGTCTAATCTTTATAGTTAAGTTTTTTACAGATTTCTGATTTACTAGTTCGGTTGATATTATGTGGTCATTAATAAACAAAATGAATGAGCACTTTACTTCAGAATGGGTTCATAGTACAATGAGTGTGAACGAAAATACGACTATCAAATAGTCGAGCATAAAAGGATACAGTTAAAGATGCTACACATCAAAAAAGAAGGCGAGAATCAATAAGTATCGAAACTGTTCAATTTTCAATCCGCTTAGAATCTGTTCATGTTCCAGAGAGTCGAAAAATTTCCATATATCTGGATGACAGACACCAATATGTTGTGTCAGGTTTCCATTCCACCACGAATCGAATATATTTTTGAAACCATGAGTCGATCAATGTTAGACCACCATTAGAAACCTGGAATCACTGAAAGATGGACGTTTCGTCCTGGTATGTGACTCATCAGCAGTGCGAATCCACGACTGTTGCAGCCCGCAGGATTCGAACCCAGGACCTTCGGTATTGTGCGCGGACGCCTAACCATTGGACTACTGAGCCGGTATCTAACGGTTTTAATGTCTAACTTGAGCAATTCAAGGAGTTGCGCAACCTCATACACAGTCTTCGATAGTTACTGTCTACACCCGAACAATCTCGAGGGTCCTGAGTTCGAATCCTGTGGGCTGCAGGAGTCGTGGACGAAACGTCCGTCTTTCAGTGCTTCCATGTTTCTAATGGTGGTCCAACATTGATCGATTCATGGTTTCAAAAATGTGTAACTTAATAATCTTCACAACCCGGTAATGCGAATCCAATATAGTAAACATCATGAAACATGTTAATTCCTCTCTTCGCACCTTTTTTTCATAATAGCCCTTTATTGAACCATGAATGAGGAATGAGATAAATTCACTTGATTTGTTTTATGACCATACTGTTTTTGATTTTTTTACACATTAAGCTGAAGCAACATTGGCCAATGCATTAGCTAAACAAGTACGTGTATTCTGTTGGATATTAACAATGCCCAAAAATCATCAATCAAAAGCTGTACATGTGAAAGCTACATGGGCTGGTCGATGTAATAAGTATTTATTCATCAGTAGTGAAACGAATGACAGTCTTCCTTCCATAGGTAAGTGATTTATTGATCAATTATGCATGATTGAATTGTCAGCAAGATAATTATCGTGATTGTTAATACTGTTATGATATATTTTCTTGAATTGTATGATAAAATAGATTTTACTCTGTTTATTATTAAATCACATTTTTTAAACCATGAATTGATCAGTTTTAAACCATCATTAGAAATCTGGAAGCACTGAAACACGGCCGTTTCGTCATGGTATGGAACTCATCAGCAGTGTGCATCCACGACTCCCGCTCCTCGCAGGATTCGAACCCAAGACCTTCGGTACTGTGCGCGAACGCCTAACCATTGAACCACTGGGCCGGCATTTAACGTCGTTAATGTCTAACTTGATTCAATCCAATTATTATATCGTTTGAAAATAATATAAATTCAGACTGTTAGTGATCATTGAAGGATTTGTGAAACATGTTTAAGTCAATATTTTTATGGTGTATCAATGACCTTTAGGGTGAAAATTCACGACAATTTTCTTTTCCCCATAAGAATAACACAGTTATGATCGTACGACTTGTTGAATTCTATGTACCAGTTTTTTTGAGAAATAACCTTTCATGTAACCAAACGGAAAGTAACAAGCACTTTCATGCATCGAATAACACTAGAAATCATTTTATTTCTTCTAGAAACGTCCTTGGGACAGTTATGAAAATAGCATACTGAAATACACAGCAGCCAATCACAGCCACGGATTTTCCTGTTGGGAATTGAAATCTCAAGGTCAACTGATCAGCCCATGCTGGCAAACGTGGAAACCAAAATAAGGCATTTATCAAGAGAATTTTGGGGATCTAACATCCCCAACAGATGGGACATCTGTTAATGTTATCTGTTTGAACCAATCTAAGCACGGTTAATTTTTAGATCGGCTGTCATATTGAGATGAAGTGAGGTGTAACAGGGGGCGCGCAGCTACTCTGGTTAGTTGACAGATATGCAATACACAACGTCAGATTGACTTGATCCACTCTAGTCGTGTCACGATGCAGCTTGATCATGCATCAACATCTTCATTAGTTCAGCTGCTGCTCGGGTAATAATTCAAGTCTTGGAGGATCAATGTAATCCTATCCCCGTCGACAATTGTTAACATTTAGAATTTATGCCATGTTATTTCTGATCTATTGAAATCTCATCACAACAACTCTAAATCAGCTTGATTGTTAACATGCATTGATTTCGAAGACTGGCAAAGTGTCATTGTTTGCTGAATTCTCGTTTTATTTCAACTCTGTCTTACACTAGGGATACTCCCCCTAATTCAGATCTCATATGGTTGGGAAAAATGAAAATTTCAGTATTTCCAAAAAAAGTCATTACTCGATATGAGACAAAGGTTAGTAAGAGTGTTTCAGCCCAGTTGGATCAAGCTGGGCTGCATCTCTGATTATGCTATGCCATACTATGTGTATGCTATATGCTAGACTGTTCTATACAGAGCTGAAGGTTTCCAATGAGACCAGAGGTTAGTTGCGAAGATTGCGAATGGTTAGACATTACTTCGGCAAGTATCGCTAATAGTCCATATGTGGTGCGCGCTACTTATAAGTAGTATATGACGTGAGTGTCAACGTAATGTCTGGCAGCAGAAGTTGGGGAAGATCAAGAAAGGAAGAGTGGGAACACAATGGAACACAATGTATGAAACGCATGAATAAGTGAAATGTCACACAATGGATTGATTGAAGATTTGTAAATTAACCGTTTACGATATGGTTTTCCTATTTTACTGAGTAACTCTGTAATTTTCGTTAAATGCGATCCAGTTGCCCCACCTGTGTTCTCCTTCACTACACATATATAAATCATTTCTAAATGATTAGCTACAATAATGATCCAATGCACTGCTAAGATTTGTAAAGAGAAAATTCAAGAAAATTATGTTGGTTTAAGACATGAACCTGGATGTATAGACCGAATATTCACCTCTCACTGGGCTCTGGAACACATACATAACAACTGACTCCTAACTGTAGTTGCATTTGTCGAATATGAGACGATGTTCCACTCTGTAGATAGACAGGATTTATGAAAGTGTCAATCATTGAATAATTTACCCAAAGGAGTCCAATCAACCGATAAAGTCTCTCTATTCGAACATTTTGGGGCAGAGTTTTGGAGGTTTGTGTTTTTACACATTTGAAGGTGAGGTCACGCAAAATCCCTAAATCAATCAGAGTTAGACATTAACACCGTTGGATGCCGGCCTTGTGGTCCAATGTTTGGGCATTCGCGCACAATACCGAAGGTCCTGGGTTCGAATCATGCGAGGTGCAGGAGGAGTCGTGGATGCGCACTGCTGATGAGTCCCATACTAGGAGGAAATGACCGTCCAGTGCTTCCAGGTTTCTAATGGTGGTCTAACAATGATTGATTGATGATTTCAAATATTCGAATATTAACAATCAAATCAGAACTTTAAGTAGATTAGATTTGATAATTCCAAGTGATACTCTTCACTTTTAGTTGACTACGATGACAAGATCCAAGTTATTGCAAATACCGACTAAATTCAAAAAGTTCAGATTACATTTCTTCACAATGCTAGCTAGCATTTTAGGATGACAAGTATCCATTTAGACAAACAAAACATGTTGAGTATGGATTAGTGTGGGTCAAACACCAAACTAACAATACACAATTAAGTAGGCAATTATATCAATCGCTTCACTCATATCTCAAGTCACATCAACACTAGTGTGTGTTGGTGTTTGACGAAATTCTGACGCAAGTTGAGACATGTCAGTTGGCCTTTTTCCAAATTCCAATTTGAACATTCTTCTTTCTGGCCGTAAATTCTGGTCGACATTTATCTGTATTTTGACTGAAATGGTCAGAATGATTACCAAGCATACCAAACAATTTTCCTACTCGGTATGTGATAATGGCTGGTGTAAGAGTAAAGTTGGAAGAAGATTGGGTCACCCCAATACAAAACTTAACATCTCTTGATCAATGTATTGAATGTGAGGATGATCGATCTAGTTTGGTGCACACAATTCAAGTGACATGGATGTAAGTTGCTTGTACTGACTCAGATACATTCATCTTTCATCCTCACTTACGTCCTGAGTTACAACATTCACCAGAAATGTCTGAACTAATTCAATGAATTGATATTTCATTCTCAAATCAGATGTTCTATAACTAACCCCATCCATCCTTCCACTTCTCTGGAATTCTCTTTGACATTTGAGCTAATGTGGTAGTATGGCGACATGATCCGATTCACGTATTATTGATTGACTTGTCTAGTTTCTGGAAAAAGATTAATCCTATCATCATTCACTCCAATTAAACAACATCTTCATGAGACCTCCTTCACTCGATGAGTGCTGTCGCCGTAAAGCTTTTACCGATTATGATTATCGTTGAACTTGCGTGTTTACTTCCTACACTCATCCCTCAATATTCTAATGTATTCATCATTTGTAGCTGTGATCAATTCGGAAGGTCGTAACTTATTATGGAATAAAACAGCTGGGGCGATAAAGTACATTGCAAAACATTTTGCCAATGATTATGATTATTTCATGAAAGCCGATGATGATTCATATGTGATTGTAGAGAATTTACGCAAAATTTTACAGAAACAAAATCCTGATAAACCATTTATTATGGGTAGACGATTCAAGGTGAGTTGTCATTGTGCATATTTATTGATTTACATGTTAATGGAGGAGTATTGGGTGTTTATGATGAGTACATTTATTTGTGTGTAACAAGATTATGAAATCATCTGTGAAGTGTTGACTGTGATGGCCGAACAAATAGGATCTTAAACAAACTTAGGTGAACCAGTTCTTTCGATGGTAGGTAGTCCGATGAAAATGAATTCGTTGCCTCTCTAGATGGCATTATCAAGTCAATTGATGACATGAATAGTCAGTAATTTAAACAAACCCGCCAAAACCATAGTTGTAAGCTAGCTATGATAATTAGAAATATTTGAATTATAGCCTGAACTAATAATCCCAGAAATAACGTAAGTGGATCAAGAACTACTAGATAAGCACGAAAGAATGTACTGTATTTAGAATTCGAAATCAAGCATTCAACAACAACAAGAAGTTACTAGTTCATTTTAAACACCACAACTGCCACAGCTTAAATTGGAATCCAAGTGTCTGTAATCAATTGTACGTCTTCTTCTCAAATTCATCCTGTGTCTGTCCGACAGTGTATTGGATAAAGACTCTGTATTATCTACAATGCTATCATTAGTATTAGAATTAACAACCTGGTTCCTGGAATTGTATTTGATCAACATGTCGATTGTGTGTAGTTAAGTCATTGATATCTAGAAGTTGCACCATAGATTTCCCGACATTCTTCAGAACAATCCCCGTGGATGATTGAAGATCATTGCCATGATAATATGTAACTTCTGCAGACTCCAAACATCTCATATTCGACCGAAGAATTCTTCCTTTTAATAGTTTTGATGGAGTCGCTTTCGTCACAGAATGTCTGGCATTTCTATATTGCAGTAGAAAGGTATCTACTCCCCTCTCCAGCCCATTAAATGTTGAGGCGGCAATAGAATCAGTAGGTGAGTGGAGTATCAGATGTTTGTGATGCATAGATTTATTTATGTATGACTAGATGATGCAATCAACTGTGAAATGTTGATTGTGGTGGTCGACAAAGGAGATCTCAGCATCTCTTTAAACGGAATCATGAAATATAAACTCCCAAAAAGTTTTGTGATGTTGGAACTTTGCCATTGATTGTCATTGATCGCTGTTTGACCTGCCTTATCAATCAATCTACTTACAATTCTACTTATTCATTTGTGGTGTGTCGAGTTAAGATTGACTATATAATCACTAACACAGATCGATTTAAATCCCTCCCTACATGAAATATTAGAAGGACAGTTTTGATTGGAGTTAAGATATATTTATCGGCGATCTCGTAGTATTGAAATAATACCCAGATCGTGCCAAATATTACAGACGAGACTATCGAGCGGACGTGAGCAATCTCAAGATCACCAATAATAGAAAATATATGCTTTTGTTACAGATAGTCAAAAGATTACAGTAAAACAATCACTGATGAATGTTTCCATAACACCAATCACATTCTCTTCATAAAATTGGCTCATTACACAGTCTTCTCTATATTTCCTCATTCCAAGAGTTCCTTAGTCCATAGTTGTCGAATATCATCCTAATATTTGAATATGAACTGTTAGTCATGGCTGGATAAGAACTAAACAAACAGAACATGGTTTTCACACTTCTGTGGAGTTCACATTATGTGGTTAGACATGTGAGAAGTCACTATTAGTTGTTTGTGACCATACATCCTCATTGTTCTGACTGAAGTGAATCAATTGGTGACTTATCTGCTACGAATAGTACAAAAATGTGATTGATTTCTAGCTGAATATCATGTTCAACAATAGGACACGATTGGATACCGGCCCAGTGGTCGGATGGTTAGGCGTTCGCGTACAATACCGAAGGTCCCGGGTTCGAATCCTGCGAGGGGCAGGAGTCGTGAATGCGCACTGCCACTGATGAGTCCCATACCAGGACGAAATGGCCGTCTTTCAGTGCTTCCAGGTTTCTAATGGTGGTAATCTAACAATGATTGATTGATGATTTCAAATGTGTAAAAACACAAACCTTCAAAACTCTGACTGAAAATAAGATAATTATCACTGTATGGAATAACAATAAAAGGTTTATTCAGCTTATGATTCACTTCATAGTTAAAATGTGATTGACCAATGAACAAAATTGTAGATTATTATGATAACTTGAATACACGTAGTCATCATATCAACACCTAAATGTAGACGTGATTCAAAGAGCAAGCAAACTATGGCACATGATCATGTGGTTTCATTATGCGAAAGTTAAGGTATTCAAATAGTAGTTATCAATGGTGTCTCACAATTCATCTTCGCGTATCGATTACTTCTTATCATAAAATCACACATTCGAATTGTTGCTTGCATTGACTTTAGTCAGTCATTTTCCTCGATTCCTTTCACATTCTTCATCGTCTTTGCCATCATCATCATCATCTTCTTCTCCTCCTCTATGTTGTGCCTTGCAAAGTAGCCATTCGTTAAACAAGGATATATGTCCGGTGGTGGAGGATATGTACTATCTCGTGCTGGTCTATTGAATATAGCTAATGGTTTAGAAACTAATCCAACATGTCGAAGTAAAGAAAACGTATTCGCTGAAGATGTGAAACTTGGTAAGTATAGATACAATCAATTTTGTGTATGTGATATGACTGTGACGTGACTACACATGAATTAATTTGAAGGAAATTGATTGGTATGGTAGAAGTTTAACAATTACACTTTTTGATGAGACTGGATGGTTTGTGAAAGTTTGGAGATGTTGAATATGACAGCTGGATGAATTGTAGATGCTTAGATTTAGGTAGTTGGTTAGTGGAACGAAACAGTTATTCACTTCCGAATGAGTTCTCGCTGGTTGTCTGTTTCGTCCAGTTCGTGTCGTGCTAGGTGTTATCTGCCCAGTGATATTTCATATTTAGTTAACACGGCGCTTATTGTTGAAAGAGTAATCTGACTGTCAGTTCTCTCACAACAAGATATCGATGTGTATTCTCATGATTAGCGTTAAAACAACCGTGAATAAGGAGTAGCACATCAACAATTATAGTTTGTTCTATTCATCATTCTCAAATATTACTCATTTCGTGTGTGTGATTAAAGTGGACGACGTATAAGTGTGGATTCTTGTGCTGGCCTAATGAAAAAACCTTTATTCAATGGCCTCATGTCGTAATATGTTTTAATATGCTGAAGTATTCGAAAATAATCTAGCAATTGATGTACTGAGGATTTCAGTCGATGGTAATTCTTCTACACTATCTTCTCCTATACATTGTAGGATCATGCGCGGAAGCTACAAACGTCACAGTAGTCGATAGTCTCGATGCAGAAGGACGTGAATGCTTTCATCCATTCTCTCCATTACATATGCTAACAGATAATTCAAAAACTTATCCCGACTGGTTTCTGGAATACAATTACCACAGAATCGACACAGTGAGTTTAATTACTAAACACATCTGTGTACATAAATGTGCTAACTATGGAATAGGTTAGGATTAGTGAGAATTCTAAAGAACTACCAAAATCAATTACCTACAAGACCACAGTCAATGCTCACTTGAGATTCTAGTGAACTGTATGAATAGATGAGAATCGGACAAAATATTGTAGTTTTTGAAAACGAGAAATATTTCGCTAACATGATATAACCAAATATCATCTCACAAATCATAGTCAGCCAGTCAGCTACAACGTAGAACTTGGTACGTAGGTAAATAAGTTCAAGATGCCATACTAACAGCATACAGATTCAAATCCTAAAGTGATATAGGTAATAGAAGTACGAGCGGCAATCGGAGCTATTATTCAAGAAGCATAATCCATTGACATAAACTTGCAAAGATAAAGATGAGAGTTGGGAGAATTTCAGAAAAGAATTTGGACGAATATAAAAAGTGGATGCACCTGCACCATTCTAAACGATTTTGAGCCATGTCGCTCAAGGTCTCTTACCACCGGTTACCACTGCCGCCTCGGGGACTCCAACCACGTAGTCTACATATACCAACATGACTCAGTCCACTTGTCAGTGACTTCATGGACTTGTGTCATGTTTTGGTTTGGCCACCCCTAGCTTTCTTCCAAACTACTCCTACATCACAAGACAACACTCGTTGAGGCAGTCGGCAGTTGGGCATACGTAACACCAGTTTCACTACCTCATCTACTGATCCGCCATTCCTACCTAGTACTCGCTCGGTTGCTCCAGGATACACGAGCAATGCTTCGAAGACATCTATAATCGAATACTAATAATCCACCAATTTTCTCAACTCTTATCGGCCATGTTTCACTGCTATAAAGTAGGACAGAGCCTACTCATGCGCAGTACACTATTCCTTTCGTCTACGCCATAAATGACTCAAGTTGGCAAGAGCCATTCGAGCCTCCTGCATTCGTACCGAGATTTCGTCAGTAACCAAGCCATCAGCACTGACGAGACTCCCAAGATAAGTGAAGCGGTCAACATGCTCAACTACTTCACTCCCTATCACTAGTTCAGGTGCCGACGCAACCCAATCTTGAAGCAACATTTTGCATTTCGAGGGAGAAAACCGCGTCCCGAACATGCTTGCATTGTTTCTTAGGGTAGTCAGAAGACTGTGCATTTTGTCAGCATCTTCACTGAATAGAACTGTGTCATCAGCATACTCTAAGTCAACAAGCAAATCTCCTGGTAGAAGGTCCACTCCTGAAAAGTCGGATGATGAAGGTGTCAACGACAAAGTTAAACAAGAAGGGGGGAAGTGGACAGCCCTGACAAACACCGATTGAAGTAATGACTTGCAATAACACTTCGCCATGAGCTCTGATTCGGCCAGCAGAGTTCGAATAGAAAGTACTTCTCTGGTACGCTATTCAGTGAAAGACAATCCCACAGAACCTCAGACCGACAGAGTCGAATGCGGCTTTAAGGCAGAAAAATACTACTACTGTGGGGCGTCTGAACGTATGTCTGTGCTCTAGGACCCGATGTAGTGGGAATATCCTGTCTATACAGCCACGTCCCGGTCGAAAACCAGCCTGGTTTTCTCCAATCTGCTCTTCACGAGCTCTAGTTAGGCGTCGGAGTATTCTTGAGGCCAGTATTTTAGATACAATATTAGTTAAACTGATACCTCTGTGATTGTCACAGACAAGGACAATCAGTGATTGTGAACAGTCAGACAGGATTACGTCCAGCTCCCAGTCTAACTGCTAAAAATGGACCACGATCCTAAACAATCTCAAGGGTATACCTACCAGACCCTACTGCTCTTCTGTGCTTCAGTTTTCTTGTAGCTTTTTCAACTTCATAACGACGCAGAGGTCTTACATTGGTCTCATGTTGTAACTGATGTTCTGCAAACTAATACACTCCAATTATCATTATTATATTTATGATTATTATTACTATTTTGATCGTGAATTTTATTCTCTTCTCCTAAAATCATAGGGATTCAATTGTTGCAGTGATTACGCTGTCTCATTTCATTACATTGAACCAGAAGAAATGTATCTCTATGAATATATGCTCTATCATTTACATCCTTACGGAATACATCGAGATTATATGGATTTAATCAATTATTTACAACAGAAACGAAACTCCATGATACCATAGAACTATTGATCGATCACCTTACATTTTTACCTGCGTTTCGTAAGCGAATGTATTCACTACAAATTCACCATCGTTGTATATATTGTCTATATATATTTCTCGTCATGCTTTCGGTGATCCTGCCTTTCAATTACTCACTTACTCATTCACTCTTTCACATGCACACCTACACATACAAACACAAAGACATATGAATCTTCCCATTTTCTACATATCCCTCCACGACTTGCGTTTGTTCACTTACTCACACATTCACCTCATCCATATGTCACTGTAAAATGCTAATCACCATTATTTATATTATTAGTATTACTGTCTTCTCCTATCTTCCAAATTCATATCAATCCGTGAATCAATCACTCAGGGAATTATTCAGTCGATCTCTTAATCAAACAATTGTTTTATTGACAAAAGACGGTGACATTCAGAGACGGAACATACTCAGAAAACAAGTCAATGAATAACCAACTGAGCCACACCCATCACGAACATTCAATTCATTGATCTGATGATATTTACGGTTAATATTATTATTATTATTATTACTCCTTATCACTTGTCTATGTTAACTTGTTTGTTTTTCCTAAATCATTCTGTTTATATTGTAAAGTCAATTTGTTACACACTAATCTCTACTTATCTGAGTTTTATCATGTACAATATTTCCTTGGAAAGGTCGGTGATTTGTGTAAAATAACATTTTCAATACTGTCAATGTGAATGATGATGTTTTCAGAGGGTTGATCTGTTTGTATCTCACCGTTATTTTAATTTTTATACGTCCAGTATTTGACCTGTATTCACACGGAGGTGAAAGCATCTATTTCGAGATACAGGATATCTGAATGTAATTTTTGTACAATCAACTTTTTATCCTTTCTTCAACTGTACATATTCAATGAGATGAAAGCACAAAATATACAATTCAAGTTAACAGATACATAATGGAATGAAAGATGATGTCTGATTTTCTTTTAAATGAAATCCTCATGTTCATCAACTGTCTATTGTAGCATATGGAATGAAATGAGTTGAATTAGTTTATTCCAGTAGTGATACGCCAATCAAATCACTCTTGATATGGACACGCCTTGGAGGACGTTAACACCTTTACATATCTTGACAGCATCACTGATGAGCAAGGTGGATCCGATGCAGATGTGAGGGCGCGGATCAGCAAAGTAAGGGCTACATTTCTACAATTGAAAAATATCTAGAACTCCAAACAAATATCAACCAGCATCAAAATCAGGATTTTCAGTACAAATGTGAAGACGGTTCCACTGTATGGAGCAGAAACTTGGAAAACTACGAAAGCCATCATCCATAAGATACAAGTGTTAATAAACAGTTTTCTACGCGAAATACTTCGTATTCGTTGGCCAGACACAATCATCAACAACCTACTGAGGGAGAGAAAAAACAGGTTTCATCGGAGGAGGAAATCAGGAAGAAGCAGTGGAAGTGGAAAGGACACTTACTGCGAGAAGCACACAACTGCGTCACAAGACAAGCCCTGACATGGAGCCCTCAAGGCAAAAAGAAAAGAGGAAGGCTAAAGAACACGCTACACCGAGAAATAGAGAAAGATATGAGGAAAATAAACCGAAATTGGACAGAACTGGACAAAGATGCCCAGGACACAGTTTGTTGGAGAAAACTTGGTCGGCTGCCGATGCTCCATAGGGGGTAACAGGCGTAAGTAGGTAAGTATTAGTGATCACATGAATAAACAGGACTGTTGTAATGATGAGTAATCAGGAGATGGAATGTAAAGTGTTGCATTTATTTTGCTCGACGAGCCTTTATTACGAAATATTACTATCACTATCACGCAGAAATTGCTAAACGGCAATATTAGAGTTAGACAGGACTGAGTACATAGCGTATTTGTCATCAGAGAACAATCAGTACAGATCAACTATACCTTGACTTATTCGTTGAAAACTACACATAGAACACTCGATCGGCTTGAGCAACAGTCTAGGTTGAAGAGTGGCTCGATCTAGATCACGTATTGTGTACCAGTTGATCAGTTTAACAATCAGTCACTCAGTTTCACATCAGCATGATGAGAAGCTAATCAGTCGAAACTACACTAGTAATTATGGTGGGGATATGAGATTTTAGGAGAGCTTTTCTGACAGATAAAAACGAAGGATATTGGACGATTCACTGAATTGTCAATGTCATCTATTATTTATCAAATTAATTATGAGTAGAGTGGTTTGAAAGGACGACGCATATTACTTCTCAAACTCTCTGATTCGTACATATCCCACTAATACCAATACATGTGTAATATTATATGTTGAATAACAAGTACTAAATTCTTGTAGACTGATACTTTAGGGTACGACTAGTTTAATGAATAATCTGTGAATTATTATTATCATCATTGTGATAGACAACGTGAGTCGTATTTAGTGTAGTCATTATCAAGTAGTCATTAATTACAGACTGCCATCCACCGTCAAAATAACAAATATTTTGTTATGCTCTTCTCTAGGTATTCTTAAAACTATTACGGGTTCACCATAGTCGAATAACGAGAACAAAACAATCAACCAGCATCCAGGTAGGCTACTGTGATCCGATTGTCCCAATTGTACCAGCAAGAAGTCTTGATATAGCGTAGAAGGTGTGTTCTACAAACACCCAGCCAGCACACAATGAATCCTAACACTCCATAGAGACATCCTTGGGACAGTCACAAAATAGCACAATAAAATGACACAGTAAACAATCACAGCCGAGGATATTTCTGGTGGGAAATTTAATTTCAAGGTCAACTGATCGGTCCATAAAATAAATCCAAAATAAAGATATTTAACAAGTGAATTCTAGGGATATAACATGCTTAACATATTTGTCAATGACGACAATGCGTTTAAACATTTCATCAGAACGTTCGGTTTAGAGATTGACAGGAAAATAACATTTTGAAACAATCTACTCATAAAGTTACTTGAGCTACATATTCAACCGAGTATGAAACTGCTGTTCACATTTCTGGATCGATCAATGAACGAACAGTTGAAAGAAAATACCACGCTCTCAAGCTGACTGATTATCTAATAATCACACAATTTCAAATCTAGTCACCATTAAATAAGACACTTCAACATAACCGTACTGTCGTCTAATTACTTCTACTCCTAATACTAAAATATTTGTAAATCCTGTGAAATAATGATTTGTTTTCACAATTAATCTGACATGACAACACACAACATTTTAAATAGTGCTTACATCAAGAGGACATTGAAGGAGACAATGATGATTTGCACTGTAATCTCAACTTCATTGAATGTCGTATAGTCGACATGAAAATGAACGAATTCACACTCACACTAATCACCATTCTGAAATAGAATGGAATGCAAAATCAATTCTGTGTCAATGTACACTGAATCAACTGATCAAAATCCGAAGTGAACATGAGAATACGAAAAGCTTCAGTGGCTGCAAAACACGTAAAAAATGTAAAATATAGGTCGCGTTAACTACTCATTGTCACATCGTCATGCATCCGAAGATAATGACAACAACAGTTCATTTCCATTCACTACTGATTACTCCTCAGTGGAGGTAGTCGAAATCGTGTTCAGTGAATTAGTCGAATGAATGACAGAGAGAAAACTTAAATGAAACAAATAATTTTCACAATCACAATAAGTGAATAGTTTCGGTTTCTTGCTGAGTGTTTGGGGCATTTAGATGAGCTAGTAAAATATTCACTGTTAATCGACAATACCCCATGATGAAACCGATGAATGAACGAATCAATGATACTCCACAGTTACGAGGTGGGCGACATATATATTCATGGTGCTAATATATTCATTATGAAATTAGCATGTGAGATAAATACAGTGGAATTCTTCCATTTACAAATCAAAGAATATCTGCATACACAAAAACTGACATCATAATAACGGCTAGCTTATTCTTCAGTTTCATATCACTTTGACACTTAAAAGTCAATCAAAATCTTTACCTATCATACTAAACTACCTCACTCTGAAGAACTAATCAAGCATGCATCCAACTCACTGAACATCATCCAATATGGCAGGATAAAGGACAAAAAAATGCTCATGTTAGGATATTAATCCAATATATCCTAAGAGAATTATTGGTCGATTCCTATTGGTTAATACCTACTGGTCAATTTTATTGTCGTCCTATATATCAATGTTATGTGCTCCAATGTTGTTCCTTATTGGTTGTCCTGACTATCAATGTCACTTCAAATGTTGCTTCCTATTGGTCGTCTTAACTGTCAATGTCACAAACTTCGATGCTGATTCCTATTCGACCAAAATGTATAAATACGCATTATCTGTAACATTTTGTGACCACGACCAGGACCCGGATCCCTAGTCCGGGATCCTGATTCTCTTCTGAACTCGGACCTCCTACATTATGGATGCTTGTAGAATACAGCTTCTACTTCATATCAAGCTTTCTTCTTTTATTCAATATGGGGGTTGGGATAATCGGGTTTGAGTAGCATGTCGTGTCACCGGATCCTCGATCCTCGCTCTCGTTTTCCGACTAGGTAAACTCGTAATAGTTCAAGCATATCAAAATGACGTGTTTACTTGCAGGCGTAACAAGAAGCCAACATCAACATAACGGTCAGCTCATTCTTCAGTTTCATATCACTTTTACACATAAAACTCAATCAAAATCTTTACTTGTCATATTAAACTACTCCACTCTGAAGAACTAATCAACCATTCATCCAACTCACTGAACATCATCCCCTATAGAGGGATAAAAGACAAAAAGAATGCTAATCAATAAGCTGTGTAATTATTCACCATGAAGACAATGGATAAAACATTCACAATTATTTCGCTTCATACCATTCATTCACCACTACTTAATATCACTGAACACAATTGGTGTGTGTGTGTGTGTGTGAGTATGGTATAAAGCATACTGTTTTGTATTTAACAATGAAAATCATGCACTAAAACACATTCTTCCAC